GGCCTTCTACCTGCCAAGATGGCGCCGTTTCGATTTGAACTGTTGCCTGCCGGGAGAAGTGACGTCAACTCCCGGAGCTCTATACACACATTGTCACACCTGGACTCAGAAGGCCCTGGGTCACCAAGAACTCACTAACTGTTGTGCAGTGACTGAACGAGCAAGCAGCATTTACATTATAATCTGAACATTATGACCCGTTCACAGGACTGCCCTCTTTGCCATGATGGATGGAAGCCATGGAACAAGCCTGTTTGTAGCCTTTTTTCTTTCTTTTATTGAGTTGATTTCACAGTAAAATACTAACAGTTTTTGATTAACCTCTCATCTACAGACATAAACCCACTATCTATCTGGCCTCCAACTCCAAAAAGTTCTACTCAGTGCTTGTTTGCATACAAGAAGAAGTAACAAAACCACTCAAGGTCTCCTGCAAAGGTCCTGCACTCTGCGTTAAGCCAGACTTCAGCCTTCCTCACTCTGAGGAAAGTCAACTGGAATTATAAATAACTTTACAGCTTAAAAGTCTACATAATCATATGTGATGAATGAACAAGATGTTTAAATCTAATGATTGAGTAATCTGTGCTTACACCAATGAATATAAAATGATCCATTTCAGATCTTATCTACACCAGATCAGTATGTGCTTGGTTTAACAAGTTAATCGATATCTACACTCATACACATTATAATAAGATACGTATTAATGTTAATATTCACTTCACATAAGTGTTTTAAAACATTCACATTCACAAAGTGTTAACCACCTTTGTATCTGAAGGAAGGCGTGGCTTCTGAAAATGTTTTGGTAAGCCCTCAAGACATGGCACATTCTGATTTGCCAGAATTTGTGAACAATGAGTTTATGAAAACAAGAATTACTTCCCGATTAGTTCAGTTTCCAGCTGACTCCCGATTTGGTCAAATCGGGGAAGAACCCTTTTTGAAACCATCTCCTTTGACCTTCAGCCAAAGCCTCTCTGAGACACTGCCAGTTTTTTACCGACAAACGGCTCTTTTCAGAGCTACTCCACACCTTAGAAATCTAACCTGCAGACCCCTAGTTGCATCTCATGGCCGGTGAAGCTGAACTCAGTGGAAGCTACTAATCTGTGAGTTTTGTGGTTTTGACATCCAGTGACCTCACCACTCTGACCACGCCCCTCCAGACCACCGTGATCAACTCATACAAGGGTATCGTAGCCTGCATACTGAAGTCGGATCACTTTTATAAATAAACAACTCTTTTGTTTATAAAAAAACAACAATTTATTTTACAACCCAGACTTCACAAACCCTCAGATACAAAGAATGGTTTTGCTAAAACATCTAGCTACCATTACAACATTTCACACATCATATTAAATCACATCTCATTATTCATATCTTGTCATGTATCATTATTAGTTTAGGAAAAATAATTAAATTAATTTTATAAACTATATACTGACTCTGTCTGAATTAATACCACGAGTATATACGGTCCCTGAATAAGTAAAAGTAACTAGAATCTTCTTATTAATCATTCAAAGATCAATCAGGTTGACATTTCATATTTGTATGGAATATCACTTCTTGTTAGTCATTTTCAATAAAGTTGTAATGTTTCAGTTTCATTACACCAGGTCAGATTAACATTCATGTGTTTCATGAGAAAGATGAGATGATGACTGTGTTGGAGCTGAATTGATAACTGGGACGTGTTTATACTACTTATTTAGTATTGATAATCCTATATTTCACCACGGAGGACGTGTGTCCACTGTAGTGAAATTAGAGAGAATTATTTATTATAATATTATTGTTCCAATAAAGGATTACATGTCTGAAAATTATGGTATTTATTAGAATGATGAGCATCGCCATTATGATATATCTTGTCTCCCCGGAGTAGCAGCTGAAGCCGGCTACTCCGCCAGCAACCAACACCCGTAGGGATCAGAACGTTTTTACTTATTTTATAATCTGCTCCAGTGCAAAGTGCAAAGTTTATCACATAATACTATAAATCCAGCAGCTTGGACGCTGAGCCTCAAACTCTGATAGTAGGAGTTTTTCGTGTGAAGAATAAGAATGTAAACGGCACAAACACCAGGACTGCTGCTTTTCCAAGGACACAGCCACTGATATAAGAGACCCAGCAGCTAATCAGCTCATAATTCATGTTTGTGCTAATGACATCGGGAAAAGACAGTCAGAGATGCTGAAGGAGGACTTTACTGCTTTGTTGAAATCACTCAGCTCTCTGAAAACAAAGGTGTTCACCAGTGACCCGCTCCCACCGGTCAGAAGAGGGGTTGAAAGATTCTCCCGGATTTTCTCCTTTAACTCCTGGTTATCTTCTACATGCTACAGAGAATGTTTTCTTCGTCCATCACTTTAACTTCTTCTGGGATCGCAGACACTTCTTCTTTCCAGATGGAATTCTTTTAAATAAGGTTCAATCAAGCCTTCTGCACATTCTACGTGTTTCTTCTGCCTCCCTTACAAATGAGATTAGAAGACAAGCAGATCATGATCAGGAAATCACAACACAGCACACCTGCTATCATAAAGGTTACATCTAATCTGCCATGCCGAGGAGAACAGCTACCAGGATGTTCCAAACCAACAAGATAACGCTCTTCAGCAGACCTCTGACCACACAGGAAAGCCCTCACAACCTTCAAAATCTTCAGATAGACTACGGATTCCCTCTCTTTTCTGGTCACTTCCAGGGTCACTTAAACCCCTGATCCACTTAGTAGATGCCTGCCTCCATGCCCCCCACAATTCACCCCTCGCCCCACCTACCCAGGCATCTCCGAAGAGCTTTCGATTGCTGTCTGAGTTTTACTGGGTCCAGATTTCATGAAAGATGTCACTCATGAATATTTCCAGGAAATGTGGACCTAATGAAGTGTTAGTATTCCCTATCTCTGTTATAATATCTACAAGAATGTACAGGAAAGTGCCTATTTGCTCACATAATCCAAGAAACCTGCTAACGGTTCCTTATCAGGCCCATTCTACACAGGCTCCTCCCACCATCTCCATGAAGGTGGCTTTCTTAAATGTTAGATCTCTTAGCAACAAGTCATTTTAGTAAGTGATCTCATCTCTGCTCATAATCTTGATTTCATGTTTTTATCTGAAACGTGGCTAAACGACAGTAGCTGTGCACCAGTTCACCACTAAACTTCACTTCTCTAAACGTTCTTGGATGGGACAGATGTGGTGGTGTAGCTGATGTTTGTAGGGACTCATCCCTCTGTAGACAGCTAGTGTGTGGTGCTTCCTACAGACCTCCAAGATCATGCACTCTTTCCTACAAAACTACACTGAGCTTCTCTCTGTTCTCACAACAAACTTTGCAAATCTTCTCATAACTGGTGACTTTAATATTCATGTTGATGATGCTGGTGACATATCTGCAGAACAACTCATTAGGGTGCTTGAACTATTTGGTCTTCAACAAAATGCCCATAATCAAACCCAGGATCTGGGACTTAATCATAACAAAGATGTGGATGTGTCGATCATGGTTGTTCAGGATGTGGGTCTATCTAACCATTTCTGTGTTTTTCTGAGATATCCGTGTCCGTTCTAGAGAAAGCTTCGGACAGGCCATCCGAAGCGAACCCTCTTTAACCCAAAGTCTTCGACAAGCTAAAAGCTGCCTACAGCTGACACAGCAAAATGGTTCCTGCAGAACAAAGCTGACACAGCAAGATTCCTTAAGAATCCATTCAAGAAGCAAACTAGTTCCAACCTGTTGTGACCTGGAGATGACTCTGGACTGACCTGGTCGTACTGCGGCTAATCTATGGACTTCGGTACTTTGGGGTCACCCGACCCCCCTGACATCTCGGATCCAAAAGAGGGTCACCATTTGGGGTACGTAGACATGACGGGTTGCGTCTAATGTGTCTTTGATAAGAACTTCATAGTTAAATGCAAACCAAATTCTTTTCACCCAGAACTCAAGTCTTCTAGATACGAAGGTTCTGATAACATCACATTCACACATAGTCACCATACATCACCTCCCATCTCCTCAGATTCATTCATCCACAGTAGCCTTGGTTAACTTGTCATGTTTTTAATTGTTTGGAAAATAAATTCTTACTTTCTGTAAATCTGACTCTCTTCTTGAAGTAGCACAAAGTGTGTTTGATCCCGGAAAAAGCAAAGAATCCTAGAATCTCCTGACTAAACATTCAAAGACCAAGCAGGTTGATATTCTATATTTATATAGAATATTACATCTTACTGGTCATAAGTAAAGGTAATATAATAAGCTTAAAAGCATCAACATTTACCTCCCTACACTGGGCATCACCAACAATCCCTGCACCGATTGGATGAAAGGGTGAATCAGATTAGATAAATAACATGGAGCCGGTCCATTCAAACATTTAAAAACAAACAACAAGACTTTGAAGAAAATCCTAAAAGACACTGGGAGCTAGTGTAGGGATGCTGAGACGGGTGTGATGTGCTCTTCCCTCCTGGTACCGGTCAGTAACCTGGCTGCTGCATTCTGGACCATCTGAAGTTTTGCTATGGAGACCTGCTTAGAGAGGCAATGTGTAGTTTTCACCATTGATTTCTGGAAATATTTATCAAAATGTTGTTGAAAATGAATTAGATGATGCCCAGTTGTTGAAAATTATTTGCAGCTTTATAACATATAACCATTACAATCAGGTCTAAACTACATGGGAGTGGGTCTCTGGACAACGCCATATTAAATGCCATGTTTCCTTCTACAGGGGCCCATGAGGAAAAACCACATTTAGAAATGTGTAACAAATGGTCTTAAATGTTGTAGTTTTACACATTTACCTCCACTTGTTGCCAGTGATGAAAAGGAGTTTGATATGCTTGTTGTGTTGCTGAAGTTTGCACTCCTCAGGGCTTTTTGACCCTGATTGGAATCCGTTGGTAAGGTCTTATTCCAACAGAAAAATACTGTTTGCTTGCAACGATTTAGGTATCTACTGCCCCCTATAACCAGGGGAAATACACACTGTCACTTTAATGCTTGCATTCAGCTTTTTACAATAGTCCAGCCTGGTGGTGATGAAGATGACAGTTTCCAGATGTTTTTTGGGGAGAAACGGCCTAATCCTGGCTTTTCTCCTAAAACAAAAATAGCTAGATCTGACCATTCCATTGACGTGGTTATCCAGTTTGAGCTCCATATCCAGCTTCACCTCCAGATTGGTAACTACTGTCTAATCAAGGGGTGCTAATAAAGAAGAGTTGACTCCTTGTGACCCTACGTGACTGCTTGTCAGGCCAAACAGGACAGGCCAGGCTCCGTCTTACTCTGGTTGAAACACAGATAGTTTTGAGACATCCATAGTTTGATGTCCTCCAAGCAGTAACAATAGTGGTTGAAGGAAGTTATTGTGTTATTGCGTCTTAACAGAATATAGATTTGACATTCATTCGCATATAGATGAAACTTGACATTGTGCTTACAGGAGATGTTGCCCAGTGGTAGCAGATAGAGGGAGAAGAAGAGGGGGGGCCAGGATGGAACCCTGGGGTACTCCCCAAGGCAAATCAGCCGTGAGAGATGAAAAATCTCCTCGTTTTACACAGAAACTCCTCCCTGAAACTCATTTTTGTTCTAACCTGGAGAGCCCTGCATGGACAGACTCCAGTAAACATTAGTAGATATCTGCAACCGTATACTTCATCCAGGCCTTTGAGGTCTTCTGACAAAGGCCTGCTCACTGTCCCAATGGCCAGACTCAGGACTAAAGGAGACAGGGCCTTTTCCTCCGTGGCTCCAGGACTCTGGAATTCTCCTCCTCTGTCTCTGAGGTCTGAGGACTCGGTGGCCTCTTTTGAAAAACAGCTTAAGACTCACCTGTACAAACCTGCCTATGTTTGAATTTTAATGTTATTACTGTTTATTGATTCTGTTTGATTTTTTTTCTTTCTTGTACCTGACTATGTTATATTTTATTTAAATTTTCTTTTATGTGAGTGCTTGAAGGCGCATTGAAATGCGCTATACAAATAAAGTTTTACTTACTTTCTGAGCCTCGGCTACATTGAGGAGCCCAGGACAGGTCGAAGTTGTTTGTGACACCATTTCTTCTATTTCTGATTTAAAAGCAGGCCAAACATTCAACCCGGATCATGCCATTCATGGGCCTGCTTCAGTTGTAGGTTCATAGGAAAATAGAGCGGTACGGCTAGGGCATATCGGCCAGCATCATCGGGCAACAGAAAACATCATTCCTTGCAACAAGCCAAATGAACAGACTTGTTGCTTGAATCATTATTTGTACAACAACATGAGAAAATGGCAGTAGTGACAAGGTTTGGTCAGCTTCAGAACTAAAAATATTCCTCACTGCACTGATGTGGAAAACCAGTACACATTTAGGTTTTACTCCGCCTGCCAAGTGAGAGTTCCAAGTGGCAATTGAGATGCTCTCTCGAAATCGCCAACTCATACCGGATGACGACCTGCTCCAAACCGTTCCAGACCACTCTATGGAACCGAAGCAGCTCAGTGTTTACTCATGATAACAGTCGCAAATTGTCACATAAAAAATTTACAAAGTTGAAACTGAACTAAATAGTCGGAGTAAGAATCTGACTTAAGGTACACACCACAGCTCCTAGGATGAAGGAGAGAATGAAGAGATTTGGTAGAATTGGGTCAGAGTGATACATTGGGATGGACAGCAGCACTTGGAACAGCCCCAGCAAGATGGTCGCCGTCTGTTGACACAGGAACATGCAAGAACACACAAGAGCTCAAAAAATATACATGTAAAGTTTGCAAAAACATGGCGGACATTACCGATGTTTAATTTTGTCAGATGAAAAACTAAAACTCTTCAGACCAATCGACCAACCTGATCATCTCTAAACTGCAAAAATATTGCCAATAAAAAAAATCCTGAAAACTTCCAACTGTAATTGTCTGTTGACAATTTGCATGGACAAACACTTCTTTTCAGTGATACATCAGAATTCATCTCTGATCTTTGCAGAAGCAACAAATTCGTTGGGGCATTCGACTTGATCTGGGTAGTGAAGGTTTTAAAGGTGCTAAACACATGATGAGATATTTTCTTGGTTTTATAACGTTCGTGCAGCACTAAAGCACCAAACTAAATTACGTTTTGAACAGTTCTTTATTAAAGTTGTTAGGATAATGTTGAATCTCACTCCATGCAACTCCATCAGCACTCACCTCTCTAAACATTTATTCACACAACGAACGCATAATCATCACTGTAATCCGTTACAGATCAATATTTAAAAATTTTCAGATGTTTTCCAGTGTTTAATTACAGAACCCTAACCCACATCTGCCAGTTTGGGAGGCATAGTGCAAAACCTTTTGCAAATCATAAATCTAGTCATGAAGATGAGTGTGTTGGTCTCACCGCAGCACTTTCAGGGTCAAACCAAGTGATCAGACGAAGTAATCGGAGTCCGGAAAGTGGTGCTGCATCTCCAGAAGCCATGATGGACACCAAACTAAAAGTAGATTCCACAGAATAGTGAGATTTGACAATGTCACTTCAATGTGACACAAAAAAAATGCTGGAGCTCAAAGTATGAGGACTAGAAGACAAGGGGTGTTTCTCAATGTTAAGGAACCTTGCCTTGATATCTTGGCCTCGCCCCAGTTGCCTAGGAGATACGTCATCAAGAGCCACCAAGATGTGTTCCAATCGGTTCCAATGTTCATGTTCTACCGAGGCGTGTGTTCTCTGTTTGTTAGCCGTTTAGCTAGCTGAGCAAGGACGCATGGGAGGTGTCTTGCCTAGCCTTGGTCAAAAATTTTCCAGAATACATTGCGGTATTTTCTAAAGAATGGCGGATCAGAAGCCGGCAGCTACTTCGGGAACAAATTTCAAGTTTAAAAGTAAGCCAACTAATTTAAAATGTTTTTTTTTTAGATCCAAAAAAGTTATCTATTTTTGGTTAGTTTCATAGTAGTTGCAGCTTCGTTGGCTAGTGGGTAGTAACTCACTTATATTTTTGATTTAATAAATATATACACAATTTAAAAAGTAAAAGACTCGTTATACATTTATATTGAGACTAATGCGTATAAAATATAACGTTGTATCCCGTGTCACGTGATGTTACGTGACCGCCGTGGAAGCCGCAGTCATGTTATGCAAGTATGCTCCATTTAACTATTTTCTTTGACCAAGGAAGGACAGTGTCCTCGTAAGTAAGGCGCCTGGCCTCGCCAGACATTGCCTCGCAAGGCCAGGCACCTTGACACTGAGAAACACCCAAGGATGTCTGGAGCCAACAAACATGCCACCCAGCTCCTGGTGCAATCTACTGTCATCTCCCACCTCGATTACTGCAATGCCCTTCTAACTGGTCTTCCAGGCTGTACTGTGAGACCTCTTCAAATGGTCCAGAATGCAGCGGCGCGTCTGGTCTTCAATCAGCCAAAAAGAGCACACGTCACCCCTCTGTTCATTGAGCTCCACTGGCTACCGCTAGCAGCACGCATCAAATTCAAATTGCTAACACTAGCATACAAAGTCCGAGACGGTACGGCTCCCATCTACCTGAATCCTCTTGCAAAGGCTTACGTCTCGGCCCGGCCGCTCCGGTCATCACAGGATGGTCGGCTAGCAGTGCCTACACCACGCTCAGGACAATCCAGACTTTTCTCATGCATCGTTCCACAAATGTGGAATGACCTTCCAAGCACTACCAGAACAGGGGCTTCCTTTTCAATTTTCAAGAAACTCCTGAAGACCCTGCTCTTCAGAGAGCATCTTCTAAACTAGCACCCTCCCTGCACCTGCCCCCCTCTCTACTGTCCTCTCCTTGTTCCCTCCTCTCCATGACTGATGTCAATGTTGTTGTTGTTAGCCTCAAGGGCAACATGCCGATTATCACTTGTAAGTCGCTTTGGACAAAAGCGTCTGCTAAATACATAAACATAAACTACTAACAAAACACCAGAGATCTTTTCAGCTGGTTTCTGAAGTTCCTAGCATCCTTCCCCATGAAGCCAACTCACCACCAGGTAGTGGCCATTTGATAGCTCTGCCCCACTCTTCATCCAAGTATCCAAGACATACGGTCGCAGATCAGACGAAACAACAACAAAGTCGATCATCGAGCTGCGGCCTGAGGTATCCTGATGCCAAGAGCACTAATGCAGCATAAAGCTGCTGGCATCGTCATTTCCTGCGGTAAGGCATTTTGCGTCACTTCCTGTTTTCAGTGTTGCACTACATGTAGCTGTTCTGCATTTGTGGCTCGCTAAAATTGATTACATTTCTCTGTATTAGGACATTTATGAGTTATGTATCACATAAGCATGCTAAAACACACATTTCTGTTGATCCACCTAGCTTTTAGGGAACCATTTGAGTTCGCACACAGTTCATTTGGTGTTGAACGGGTTGCTCTTCCAGTTAGCTTAGCCTCAGCATGGCTATGGTGTTACATCCCCGACTCTCTAGGAGAGATGAGGGGGGAGTAATAAATGTGGTGTGTGGATTAAATAATAATAAAGTGCAGTGTCGCTTAAAACCAAGACTTTTATTACAAAAACGGGATATTTACAAGGAACTAAAAAGCAATACTATATACAAAACAAACGCAGATATTCAAGAGGAGAAACGAAAAGCGCCAACCCAGAAGGGGATGGGGATAAACAACCGATAATATTAATATTAATATCTAAATACAAAAGGGGAGATCTTAAATCGAGGTCAAATAGCCGGTCCAAAGTCAAAATACCAAACTGTCTTAATCCTAAATCTCAATTCCAAAACGAGTTATCAACTAGTGAGCAAACCGAATTTTATCAAAGGAAGCGACCGAGGAGAAGAGAGCAGAATAAACTGTTGCCAGTCTACTCTACCCTTGGACCTTCTCAAAGAACTGATGGCTGAGGGGCAGTTTTTAACAGCTGTCCAGGAATTATCACTGGTTTTGAGCAGCTGGGCACCGGGAGACAGGCGAGACAAAGGCCATTGAGGCCATCTTGTGGCCAAAAAGGGGCACGGCACGTAACATATGGCTACTTCTGTCTCTAAGTCTCCATCTCCTATCGCTTGCTCTCTGTGTCAGATGTTTAGTTACTCCTCTGCCTCCTTTAGCGATAATGGTACGTGTAATAAATGTAGCATTTTTGTAGCTTTGGAGGCGAGGGTGTCGGAATTGGAGGCCCGGCTCCACGCTGTTGAAAAGCCTGTAGATAGCCGTAGCTGCTTAGTTAACATGGAGCAAACTAGATCAGAACCACCCAGTAACGGTCCTCCAGCAGAACCCGAGCAGCCGGGACTTCAGGCCGGCTGGGTGACGGTACGCAGGAAGCATAGAACCCAGCCCGTGGGCCACCACCAACCCGTCCACGTTTCTAATAGATTTTCCCCGCTCAGTGACGCACCCACTGACAAGCCGACTCTGATCATTGGCAGCTCCATAGTCAGAAACGTGGCATTAGAGACTCCAGCAACCATAGTTAAATGTTTACCTGGGGCCAGAGCGGGCGACATTAAATCTTACCTGAAACTGCTGGCTAAGGATAAGTGTAAATACAGTAAGATTGTTATTCACGCTGGCGGTAACGACACCCGGTTCCGCCAATCGGAGGTCACTAAAATTAATGTTGCTTCGGTGTGTACGTTTGCCAAAACAATGTCAGACTCCGTAATTTTCTCTGGCCCCCTGCCTGATCGGACCAGTGACGGCATGTTTAGCCGCATGCTGTCCTTCAACCGCTGGCTGTCTAGGTGGTGTCCTGAAAACAACGTGGGCTACATTGATAATTGAAAAACTTTTTTCATTCAGACCTATTAGTCAATCCTTTACCAATTAATAGTTACAGTTCTTTTTAACATCTTATTCTTAGATTGCAAAACTGTAAAACCACTCTTGTTTGTAGTTTTGTATCGTCCACCAGGCCCTTACTCTGAGTTTTTGGATCAGATCTCTGATTTTTTTTTATCAGATTTGGTGCTAAATACTGATAAGGTCATTGTAGTGGGGGATTTCAACATTCATGTGGACATCGAAAATGATAGCCTCAATGTAGCCTTTAGCAATATCTTAGACTCAATTGGTTTTATTCAAAGAATGCATAGCTCCTCCCACTCCTGCCATCGTACATTAGACCTTGTGCCAACTTATGGCATGGAGTGTGAGGAAAAACGAAATTTCCACATAATCGAGTCCTCTCAGACCACTAGTTGATAACCTTTGCGTTTTATATAACTGAGTTCTCCAGACAAGAAAGTTAATTTAACTATATTCAACTCAATTCAGTTTATTTAAAAAGCACCAAATCACGACAAGGGTCATCTCAAGGACCTTCACACAGTAAACATTCGAATACAGGTCAGTTTATTAAGCCAATCAGTAAAAGCTTTCCTATATAAGGAACCCAGCAGGTTGCATCCAGTCACTGACTAGTGTCAGAGTCTACAGCAATCATCATTCTAAGCAAGCATGCAGCGACAGTGGAGAGGAAAACTCCCTTTTAACAAGAAGAAAAATGACTCACTGGGTATGGAAAAGACAGAGCAGACACACACACACACACACACACACACACTCGTACACATAACACATTAAAAGACCACAGTAAGCACTAGGCTGAGCTCAGATTGGACAGGTAATGAAAGACGCGCCATCAAGGGAGCCAGCTGCCTCGACAGCAGCAAAACCATGGCAGCAGCCAAGACACCAATCCAGGGCGCCCTGGGAGGGAGGGTGGCAACCCCTACCACTACCTGGGCACTACCCAAGGAGCGCCCCAGCCGCCTCCACCGAACACCGGTCCTGAGGCAGAGGGCTCCACAGAGGAAACACTAGAAGGATTAAAATACGTAACATGTAAAATCACAAGAGCTGATACTGATAGTAAAATATCCAATAAAATGTGATTATACAAATAAAACAACATAAATGTGTAACACAACAGTTATTAAAAATAAATAAATAAATAAATAAATAAATAAATAAGTAAGTAAAACAAGCAATGCACTAAATAGTAATCAGTTAAAAGCTAAACTAAAAAGGTGGGTCTTGAGCCTGTTCTTAAAAACATGAACATTCTCTGCGACCCCGAGATCCTCCAGCAGCCCGTTCCAGAGGCGAGGGTCGTAATAACTAACAGACGCCTCGCCGTGAGTGTGTGTCCTGACTTTAGGAATGACAAGGAGACGGCTGCCAGAGGAGCGCAGGGACTGCGAGGGTTCATTTGGTAAAAGCAGTTGTGAGAGATAAGACAGGCCAATACCATTAAGACACTTGAAAACCATTAAAAGTATCTTAAAATTGATCCTGAAACATACAGGGAGCCAATGCAGTGATTCTAAAACCGGAGTGATGTGCTCCCGCTTCCTGGTCTTCGTCAGGACAGTAGTGTAACAGAATGAAATGACTGTTTTCTACCTAAAAGTCATTTCCCCCCTCTCCTCAACGAGAACTAATCTGCATGAGATATTGCTCAAGGTCTCATGCATTTGCTTCTTAACTGTTTCCTT